AAAAAAAAAAAAAAAAAAAATGAGGACCATCCTCAGCAAAATGGATGGACACTACAACAATGTGCTCAAACTTAACAATAATTGTGAGGATGGTATAAGACCAGGAAGCACTTCATTTTGTTGTATGAAGGGTCACATGAGTCAGAACTGACTCAGTGGAACCTAACAATAAGAACATATCAATTTTAGTAGTTCTAGTAGTCCCAGACATTAATGAAACAGAATTCATTCTGTTAAAGGTGTTATGTCAACTCTAAAGCTGTAAATTTGTAATAAATGTAAAACACTGATAATTCCTGAATATGAAAAATGGAGGAATAGGACAAACTTATGGGGAAAGAAGTGTAAATATTTACTCATGATTTGATGGATTATCTATAAAGGTAAAGAATACAAGGCTAAACTACTTACCAAGGAAATTAAGTAGAGAAAGAGTCAAACGATCCTTTTACACAGGGTAGAGAGCTTTTACAAGATATTTAAAAAATAAGATAAATAAGGTGGACACTGAGGATAAAACAGGAAAACTGTGTTTGCTGTTCTTAAGTGCCATCGAGTCAGTTCCTACCCACAGAGGCCCTGTATAGGGTTTCCAAGGAGCAGCTAGCTGGTGAGCTTGAACTGCCAACCTTGCAATTCAAACCAGCTTTGCAGTCCAGCGCATTAACATGTAGCGCCATACCAGGATCTTAATATAGTTATCAGAAATTGGGTAGATCCACAACATTAAAGAATCATAAACAAGTCCTTGCTGTTATATAGAACTTTTTAAAAGCCAAAAGATAAAAACCACAAGAATTACCAGAAATTGCCTAAAGAAATGTTTCCACTCTAGCCAGATATATGTTATAGTCTTATCAATGAATTTGTCAAGTTGATCTTCAAAATTAAGTTGACAAAATTTCAAAAGGGTTAATTTTAGATTGGAAACAATGGGGCAAGGTAAAGTGTTGGAATATTTTAAATACTTAAACATTATATCACTAATTATGTTTTGTGGTATACAGGCTAAAATATTTTTTTATAAGGTTGGTCTGGTTTTTACATTCTTTTAGTTTCTGTGTATCTGGCAATGTCCTAACGTTGTCAAATTGTCTCAGATAAGACAATGTTTCTGGGTATATGATTCTTAGTTGGCAAATTTTTCTTTCAGTTTTACATAGGTCATCTCATTGTCTTCTTGCCTGATTTCTACTGAGAAATCAGAAGTTAGTCGTATTACTCTTCTTTTTAGGTAACTTTTTGTTTTCCCAAGATGCTCTCAGGATTCTTTCCTTAGTTTTGGTTTAGAAAAGTTTGATTGTGTCTTAGTGATTTTCTTTTGGGGTCTATCCTATCCTGTTTGGAGTTTGTTCAACTTCTTGAATGTCCATCTTCTCATATTTTCATGATTTTAGGGAAGCTTTCTTCCAACAATTCTACATTTTTTTTCTTTCTTTCAGTTCTGGAATTCCAATTGCATGTAAGTTATTCCTGTAGATCATGTTGTTATATGCTGTTGAGTGGGTTGCAACTTACAGCAATCTTATGCATAACAGAAGAAACACTGCCAGTCCTGCACCAACTTCACAATCCTTGTCACACATGCTCCCATTGTTTCTGCCACTGTGCCAATCCATCTTGTTGGGGGTCTCCCTCTTTTTTGCTGACCTTCCACTTTACCAAGCATGATGTACTTCCCCAGGGGACTGGTCCCTTCAGATAATTTGTCTGAAGTATAAAAGATGAAATCTTTGCTAGAGTATTCTGGTTTTACTTCTTCAAACACAGACTTGTTTGTTTTTTTTGACAATCCATGGTTATATCTTTAATATTCTTCTCCAATACTATAAACCAAATGCATCAATTCTATGACCTTCCTGACTCATTGTCCCAACTTTGACATGCATATGAGGCCACTGAAAATACCATAACATGTGTCAGGAGCACCATAGTCCTCACACTGGCATCTTTGTTCTTGAATACTCTGAAAAAGAGGTCTTCTGCAACAATGTGTTGATAATGGATTCAAGTAAAATAAAGTCTTTGACAACTTCAATCTTTTGTTCATTAATTGTGCTTTTTATTGATCCAGTGGTGAGAATTTTTGTTTTCTTTACATTGCAGGAGCTCTGGTAGCGTAGTGGTTACGAATCGGGCTGCGAACCTTAAGGTCAGCGGTTCGAAACTACCAGCCGCTCCGCGGGAGAAAGATGAGGCTTTCTACTCCCGTAAGGATTTACACCCTCGGAAACCCTGTACAGGGTCGCTATGGGTCGGACCCGACTCGACGGCACTTAACAACAACAACAACACATTGCAGTGCAACCCATAGAGAAGACTGTGGTCTTTGAGCTTCACCAGTATTTTAAGTCTTTTTCCCTTTCAGCAAACTAGGTTCTATCAATACATCTGCATATTTCAAGTTGTTAATGAGCCTTCCTCCAATCCTGATGCCACGTTCTTCTTCATACAATCCAACTTCTCGGATAATTTGCTCAGTATACAGACAGAATAAATATGGTGAAAGAACACACACCTTTCCTGGTTTTGAACAATTCAGTGTCCCCTTGTTCTGTTCGAATGACTGCTTCTAGTATATCTGCAAGTTCCTCATGAACACAACTAAGTGTTCTGATATACTTCACAATGTCTCCCATAGCTTGCCATAATCCATACTCAAAAGCCTTTGTATAGTCAATAAAGCATGGGAAAACATCTTTCTGATATTCTCTGCTATCAGCCAATAACCATCTGACGTATCCCTCAGATAGCTATCAGCCAAGATCCAACGATATCCGTCGTTACACGTTGTCTGAATCTGATTTAAGCCTCTGGCAGTTCCCTGTCAATGTACTATTGCAGCCACTTAAAAATTATCTTTATCAAAATTTTACTTGCATGTGATAGTTATATTAATGATATTGTCCAATTCTGCATTCTGGTGGATCATCTCTTTGGAATGGACACAAATATGTATCTCCTCTTCCAATCAGTTGACTAGGTAGCTTTCAAAATTCTTGGCATAGATGAGTGAGTGCCTCCAGTGCTGAGTCCATTTGTTTAAAGATTTCCTCTTAATAGTGTCCCCCATACATTTTAGGTTTTCTTCAGAATTTTTTATTTTTTCTGATTGTTCCTCTAGCAGATGAATATTGAAAGATTTGTTCAATCTCACTTATTTGGCCATTGATTCAATTCTACGTCTTTCCCTTTTAATGTACTATCTTATTTCTGAAGTCTGAGTATTAATCTTCTGACTTTCTAATTGCTGTATTTATATGGTTCCCAAATTTTTCATTTGTATGTTCTTGTAGTGTTGTTCTGAATTCTTCTAAAATTTTGTCTGTTATCTTTGATTATGGTGTTGGTGAAGAACATTGAATAGACCATAGACTGCCAGAAGAATGAAAAAATCTGTGTTGGAAGAAGTCTATTAGAAGAGAGAATGGAAAGACTTCATTTCATGTCTTGGACATGTTATCAAGAGGAATTAGTCCCTGGAGAAGCATATCATGCTTGATAAAGCAGAGGGTCAGCAAAAAATTTTCTTGATCATGTTTCAATCAGACAAAGACACCTAAATGTTATTCCTTTAAATTCCTTATCATGTTATTCTGACACCACTTCTGGTATTATATTATCTGTCTCTGTATTTTGGTCATTTGTTTGAGTCACCCTTGATGTTTCTTCATGTAAGCTTAAATTTTCTGTTGTCACCAGTACATTATGGAGTCATTGTATTTAATTGTTGTGTTCCCTGACACTCACTACCTGTTTCCTGGTAAATGTGATAGATACTAGGGTGTGAACACAGCTCTCTGTTCATTTTGTGTAGCATAGTTCACAGTAGGTTCACACACTTTCAGACAGCAGAATGGTATGCCCATTGCCCAATCCCAGGCAGAACAGAAGCTGCACTAGATGGAGTACCACAGGCAGCTGGGTTGCCAAAGGCAGGGGGAATAAAGGAGAACTGCACCCCCATTGATGCCAACCTCCAGCTACATCTTGTGCTGGCAGACAACTGTATTGACAGTCATCTGCAAAAGCTCAAGAAGGCCGTGAAACTCCAGGTCAGCCAACCACCAAGGTTTTTCGGGTCTTTTGCTGCTTCTGTTCATGTTCCTCTTCCACTTGTAATTCAACCCACCTCTCTATCCTATCCTCTGAAGTTCAGGGTTCCAGGATCACCATCTGTATCTGTTCCACTTGGTCTCCATTATCCTTGCTGCACAAGGTCTGTTCAGCACATTTACCTACATCTCCATCTTGCCCCACAAAAACAGAAATAGTTCATTATTACAGGAAATCACTATTACTAGATATTCCATTGATAAAGTATTTTCTTTTTGGTTCCAAACAAAACCCACGTCACAACTTAACCTTTAGTCTTCATGTGACTCTATCCTACTGAATAGTCATCAAAAGGAGCTAACAAAAAGAGGATTTAGCAGGAGGCAGACACATTATACGGACACTCTACAACAAAGATACAAGAGACTAAATGAAACAGAAACAGATGAAAATTCTGGAACCCTAAACTTCAGAAGAAAGGTTAGAGAAATTGATTGTTTGCTGAAAGAAGAGGCTGAGTAGGGATGGCAAGAGACAAAGACAGACTGGACTTGACAATTTTATGAGCCACTTTGACAACCGAAGGTGACCTGGCAGAGCAGATTCACACAGCCAATGGAAAGGCAAGATACCTTCTTCTTCCCCACACTCCGTTGGTGACCAGAGGGGTGACCGCTCCC